TCCGATGGATTATTTTGGGTTGATACCGGAAGATTGCTTATCGGAAATTTTATCGTTTACTTCGCCGGAGGATACTGCTAGGTTATCGACGAGCTCTCGAGGATTCAATTCTGCTGCTGAATCCGACGTCGTTTGGGAGAAATTTTTGCCGTCGGATTATCAAAATATAATTTCTAAATCAAAATCTTTACTGGCTTCTCCTTCCATGAAACAACTTTACTTTAGTCTCTGTGATTCCCCAATTCTCACTGATGGAGGCAAAATGGTACTTTATTTTCTCTCTTTTCTGGTTTTTTTTTGTTATAGCGCGATGATCAATTGTGTGAATTAACGTAAACTATGTAAAATGCTGCTATTTCTTTGATCAATTGATTTATAGTATTTTGTTATGTAGTTTTTAAATATAGAAATTTTATTTTTAAAAACTTGTATGTCTGAATTCATGGTCAAAATTTAAAAGTTTGAATCTCGAAATTCCAATTTGTTCCACATTAATTGAGGCAGAAGAAGTATATTAGCATTTTATCGAGTGAAGGGTTAGTTTTGTTAGCCTGGTTTGATATGTGCTTTGCTTGAGCCGAGGGTCTATCGGAAACAACCTCTCTACCTATCGAAGGTAGGGGTAAGGTTTGTGTACACAACACCCTCCCCGAACCCTCCCCGAACGTAACCCCACTTGTGTGATTACAGTGGGGTGGTTGTTGTTGGTTAGTTGTTTTTTATTAGACAAGGACCACGATCTTCGTTCAATAAACAACCGAGAGATCAAAAGTATATGGATTTATTTCCGTTTTAAGCTTTTATTTTAGACGTAGAACGAAAAAAATAGCTAATTGTCAATGAAAAAGGTCCCTGTGGGCTGTGGCTATGGATGTGTATGGTCTAGGGGTGGAAATGTACAGGTGGTTTGTACCTAGGCAAGTCAAGCGGGCAGGATTGGCCTGTGACCGTCCCATCCCGACCTGGTAAGAATAAGCATGTGACCGTCCTGACCATCCATAAGGATCATTGGGTGGTTTGGGTCCCGGACTCACTTTTATGTAGCTAGATATAGTTAATTGGGACTTTTTTTTTCGTTTTTCGTTGATTTTACTCCTGATGTGTTGTGTATCTATGGTCTGATCTGTAAAACAGAGTTTTTCATTGGACAAGAAGACCGGGAAGAAATGTTTTATGGTATCAGCGAGGGAACTTGCTATTTCATGGAGTGATACACCACATTATTGGGCATGGTCATCTCACCCCGACTCCAGGTTCTATATTTTCTCGGTTCCTTTTTGCTGTATAAATTTAGAAAGAGATTACTTAATTAAACATAAACACTGATCATGATTATTTTATGCAGATTTTCGGAAGTGGCTAATCTTCGGTTCGTTTGTTGGCTTGATATGCGAGGGAAGATTGAAACTCGACTACTGTCAAAAAGAACCAACTATGTTGTTTATCTAGTGTTCAAACTGAAAAGTGGACACTATGGCCTTGAAACTGCTAATACATTTGTTAGATTTGTTGATCGTGAGAGTGACAATGAAGCTGAGGAACGAGCTAGTGTTGTTAGTATTTCAAGACAAGAAGGACCTGGTGAGAATCGATCCAAGAGAAGAGACGATGAATGGATGGAAATAGAAATGGGAAAAATTTTCAATGACGCAGGAGAGGATGGAGATGTTGAAGCGAGATTAATGGAAGTTAGGCGTCTCTCTGCGAAAGGTGGCTTTATCGTTCAAGGAATAGAGTTTCGACCAGAATAAAGAAAAGAAGAATCCTTTGAACCATGCCTTTCCAGTACTCCCTCTCTTCTGGATCGACTCAAATCCTTCTAAATATGGCCCTTCTCACCTAATGGTCGAACTCGAGTTATCGGTATAGTTGATTTACTATATTAATGTATGTTATCAGAGTGAGTTACTGCATGTAAAAAACTCATTTTGCTTATGAAATATGGCACCTGTTTTATAGCATTAATTCCTGTTTTCACTCTGTTTCTTTCAACTCTTTTCACTTTCTATTTCTGGTGATAGTTCAGGTAGGAAACGCGAACACCTGAATTAACGCAACTCACAAAAAAAGTGATACTTCAGGTATGTTTTTGACCATTATCTCTACATATAATATTTCCTCGTCAGGGTTCCTGGCTCCCCCACTGCTATTGGCAATAAAGTTGTTCTGTAGATTTGTTTTATCAACCAACTCTAAATTACCTATACATTACATCAAAATACAAGCCAATCCAGCTCTTCATGAGCTAAACTCCAGTTGTAAGGAAAACATTCTGACTGATTGATAAGTTTAACATCAACAACGGGTCCTCATAGACGGATGGAACCTATGACCATTTGGTTCAACTGAATGCAGTATTTTTGACACGGAACATAGACATGTCTGAAAAACTGCCAAGATTTCAGCAAATGTTGAATTTTGAACTTAAAATTTTACAAGTAAAACGAGTTCAGTGCTAAGAACCTTAAGGTTGAATCACGAAGTGCATTTGAAGCCAGGGCAGACAGATAAAATGATAATGAGAATCAGGACCAAGATGATGGCAAAAACAACCAGTTTTATCTTCATATTTTCATACCACATCTTCCTCCTTATCTTTGTCCCCTGTTGTCTGAAGTCCTGAGCCTGAAAATCACAAAAGAGCATATTACAAACTTTTGTCTTAAAATGTCTGGTACTCGTATTAGAGCCCCCACTAATCTGGATATGCGATGGATGTCTCATATTGGGGTAAAGACCTCGAGACTTACTTATCACTCCACCACAACTCTGATCAGTGATTACAAACTATTGAACAAACCATGAAAGTCAAGTGGAAACATTTATCATGTAGATAAAGTTGCTCGAAAATATGTTCATGCTGCATTATGAGCTAACCTGTGATCGAAGATTATCTGTTTTATCGACTAGAAGCTCAATCTTCTCACCGTGATCAAGAACCTGATATTAAACAAAAAAATAAAATTGAAGCAAGTTTTACATAAACATGCTCTAGATGTCAAAGGCATATGCGGGATTTTGTGCAAGCAGTGTCAGCCTATTATAACATAGTGAATTTTCTCGACGAAGTAGTGTCAGATGACATCATGACGCCCTCTTGTAGCCTTGTAGAAGGGTGTCCCTGTCACTGCCAGATGTGAAAATATTAAGCATAGTTCATCTATAAAAGATCATCAGTCCATTCCCCAACTAATGTGGGATTCTAATACCCCCTTCATGCTCAGACCCATCTAAAGCGTAAATCGAGAACACAAAAAGGGGTGAATCGAACTCTGATACAATGTAAAGATATGAAACTAGCTCTTCATGATATAATTGTCTAAGTTCATATAAACAGGCCATCAGTACATTCGCCAGAAATTCACCTTCTCAATGTTTTCCATCATAACTCCCTTAACTTCAGAAACTTGAGCCTTGACCTTAGAAAGCTTACTGATTTCTTCAGGATGATCACAACAGTATTTCATATGCTCTTTTAATTTTGACCTACAATGAGTAACACCATATTGCTTCGGAAAATAAAACAAACAAATTGAAACGAACAGAGTAACCAAAAAATTGAAATAAAATAAAAAGAAGGTACCCAAATTCCCTATTGAGGCTTTTAGCACTAGCAGTTGCAGCTTTGCCTCCAGCATATTTCTTGCTAAAATCACTCTTCACTCTATCCAAAAAGGCAAGGGGAATTTCCCTGCCTGCAGATTCAGTAGCCACAACACAATAGGCTGCATTATGAAGTAGCGGATTCAGAATTTAAACGTTAAAAGAGCGCGGTCTCCCATTTCAAATAGCTTAGGTACAATTTAACCTTTGCCCTTATTATTTCCCATTTTTTGGCACATATTGAATAAGTCTATTCACCAAGATTAGGCAGATAAGAAAAACCACCTAATATTTTTGTTTTTTCCTAAACTTTGAACGTAAAGCCTCATAATTCTCATCTTACGTTATTGATTACTACGTCACATTTTTGGAATGCATAGATTACAACTCGTAATTTACAAATTATCTTCAACAAATGTCATACATTTCTTGAATTATTATGAATATCTCCAACTATTTATGTTTGATGATCATATCAACAAAACAATGCCTATTCAACTCTTAATTTCATGAGGCCTCAGGTTCAATAACAACCTTAAAAATCACACGATCCACATTTAATTCAATAAAAAACTCTAAAAAATCAAATTTATCAAGTAGATCCAATTAATCAAAATACAAAAAAAAATCAAAAAATAATTGTAAATCATATCATGAATATAGGAAAAAAAGATGAAACTGACTGAATCCATTATCGGAGAGAAAATTGAACGTATGATCATCACAATTATACGAAAATTTGTTACTAGATGGCGGTAGCTTCTGCAAACATTGAGTAGCAATGCTGCTAAAATTTCCGGTGAATTCACTATACTCCACCAGAATTATTGTTCCTCTGGCAACGAAGCTATAAATCAACATTTGTTGTCCCATTGATCGATGATTGATCGATCTTTTTTATTTATTTTTCGATGAATTAATCCGTTTATAATGGGAGAGAAAATGAAGAAAAATTGAATATTTTTTTCTAGAGAGAAATGAATTGGGGAAATATGTTTGCATGCATGGAAATGAAAGGAGAGATAGCATATTGTTGAATGGTTGAAGAAGAAAAGTGGAAATGAATATGTAATTTTTTATTAATTTGGGGGAAAACAAGAAAAAAAATTATAACTAAATATTAATAAATTGTCCTTATTATTAATCTATCGATATATATATATTGCTCGTTGGTAACACTTTTTTTTTTTGATAATATAAGCTATTGCTAAATAGTTGAGCGCTTGTTTAGTTTTCCCTTATTAGTAACTCTCCTATTATCGTATTTTTTTTATTTTATGATTACTTGTTGTTTTCTTTGCCTCGTGTTTATTGCATTACTACTTGTGGTTGCTATTTTTTTTTTCTCTGTTATTTTCTATATGCTTCGGTGTTAAGTACAGAGTCCATTGGAATTCACAAGGTCGGATAAAGTTGTATACATCAACATTTCCAAACTTCACTTATGGATTATATGCTCAATATGATTTTATTGTTATTGTTATTTGTTATTGTGTTGCTAAATAAAATGAGCAATAAATTTTATTATTTAGCAGCAAAATTTATCTATCTTAATTCCTTCTTCTTCTTCACTTGGTTCTTTTTTATTTTAGAATCAAGTTATACAAAGATTAATAATACATAAATTGATGTAATTAATGAATTATGTAGGAATATATTGTAATGCATGAATTATTTTTTATCAAATATTTGGTTCATAAATTGGATATACGATATATAACTTAAATGTTTGATTTAAAATTACATAAGGGTTTGAAAGAGACCCGTAAGCATGCCCACACCACTAATGGTGCAAAGGATCAAATGGGTAATCTTGGTATAAAAAATATAGGTCTAACCCATCGGTGGCCTCCTAAAGTTGGCACGATATTTCACTTAGACACCTTAACTAGACAATGTTCATTTTAGACACTAATGTAGAGTTCCGCTATGTCATTTTGACACTTTTTGCTTACATGGCATAATGAGTGTGATACACTCATTGACCAGCGCGTGAAATAGTTTTTTAGTTAATTTTTAATTAGTTTTTCTTCTTCTTCTCCCATTGTTAGCCACCATTTTACCCAAGTTAAATTTCATCCATTATAGATGAAGGTTTCGACAAAAATGATGAAAAATGTTTTTAAAATCTAAAAATAAATCCATTTACGAATTTTTTTTGGAAGAATTTAATATTAATTTCTTTAAACTAAGCTAAAAATTTGTTTGAGATAGTAATGACGTGTAGATGTAGGGTGGGGTAGTTTCTGCAAAAGGATTGGGGACGTTTTTATTTTTGAAAATAAAATTTTCAATTGGTGCGCATAGTAGGATATTTTCGAGGCGGGGGTTTGCGGGTTATTTGGAGGTTGGGTATTTGGGGGCTTTAGAGAAAGACGATTTTGTGGGTGGAGAAGACGACTCGGGGTGGGTTCTTTTATTTGTTTTTTTAAAGTTATTTTTTAATTATTTGGATAAAAATATTATGTGTCATTAATTCATTGGCCAGTTTTTATTTTTATTCAAAAATAATTATTTAATAATTACTTTTGATACAAATGATAAATGTCATCATTTAATTCGTCACTTTACACGTCATTCGCGAGTGTAATACACACATCTTATATATTTTTGTTGATATTAAAAAAAGTGTCAGCGAAATTCTACATCAGGTGTATAAAATGAACATTATCTAATAAGTGAAATATCGTGCCAACTTTACAGGGCCACCGATGGTATATAGAAATTGACATATAAATATATTAAATTATAAAAGTGAAACTTGTTACCAAACATTATTAGTAGGGGTGTTCACGGGTTGGTTTGGATCGGTTATTGGTCAAAATCAAAACCAAACCAACTTAATCGGTTTTAAAATTATCAAAACCAAACCAAACCAAATATAATATACATTTATCGGTTTGGTGATTATTGGTTTCGGTTTGGTTTGGTTCGGTTATTCGGTTATTAACCATACACAAAAATAGAAGAAATAATTCATTTAAAATGTGAAAAAAGTGACAACAATCCATTCAAAACGAAAAATAGTTAGAATGACTTAAATTACTAAACTTTCAATCACTAAATTTACTATCAATAAAGCTTTAAAATTCACTATATTGGCCTAGAAGGAAGAGACAATAACATTTCAGTCCCACAAAGAATTGACATAGACACTCATATACATGAAATAAATAAGATAAATGTTTCATTTTGGGCATTTTTGCTTTCAATAAGTAAATTATAAAGAAATTTTAATGAAAATATGTATAAGATCTTTAAAATTGTTTATAAAAATAATATATTAAGTATGTATATTAATAAAATATATGTATATAATTCATCGGTTCGGTTCG